AAAGCTGGAAGGTCCTTTACTCGGATGAGAACCTTTAGAAAAATGACAAATGATAACATGGAACGATTTTCCTATTTATTCTTATGAATTTATATCAATAAAACTATGCAGTTGTTTTGGATAATTAGCACCTCTTTTCTTTTGTAGATCTTTAAATGCTTCCTTCTATTTTTGATTAAACTGGCGAAAAGCAATATCAATGCTTAATTTTATTTTATCGCCAATACCACAGAATAAAAATATTTTTCATCAATGTAAAAACGTGCTAACGAACACATTATAATCTTTTTCCAAATAACACAACTAAAATTGTGTATTTTTAATTTTAAGAAAAAAAACAAAGGAGGAGGAGGAAATTTTATAATAAGAAACGCAATTTTGTTTATTCTTAGAAGGCAAAACCCTTAAATCTTATAATGTCTCAATATGTTACCTAAGAAAATGAAGAAAGCCTCGGTGGCTTAAGTGATAGATCGCTTTTCTTCCAAACAGTTGACCGAGGTTCAAATCCCAGTTACGGCTGGTTGATACAAATTCTGCTTCCGGCTCACACTGTTCACAGAACTGACCCTCAGTGGAAGAAAGGGGGGCGGCTTTATTCTTTTCTGGAAGTTCCACTATCCCCATAATTAGGCATGTCACACGTCTGCACTCGACTAATTCCCTCTTTAGTTCAATATAAACTGCGGCAAAGTAAAGTTATAGGTGTGCGCCAAGTTAGCGAAAAGAAGCCAAATATCGATGGAATGACATTTCATAGGAAGTGTCTGACTCTCTTTTCTTTTGTTAAGATCATAGTGGCCGCCTTTTTAAGAATGTTGCTTAAAATAATCTTCTTTAAAGATTTGTAATTGGAAAAATATTAGGAGCGAAAGAATGAGCAGAGGAAAACGAGGGGAAAAAGGAATACAGAATAAAACTAGTAAAAATTTCTGTACATATTGAGCACTCTAATTTTTTTTTTTTTTCAAATTTAGAACTCAATGTTCCAATGTATAAATGATACTGACAGTTAATAATTTTAATGCGTTTCAGTAATGAATAATTTCATATCATGAAAGACTTCATGACCGGACCAATATATAATTGGTGAATGGTTCCAAAGTTTGAACAATCAAATTCTGCGAATTTTACAAACATTATTAGTTTAAATTAAAAGATTTTGAATCGACTATCTATATTTTCGATTTCTTAAGTCGATTATTTTGCAATCCTTATTCGGAGAAAATACGGTGTTTTAAACAAACACAAAAATTGGGAATATTAAGCTGAAAGTCAGGAATATCAGACCAAAAAACTAAAAAGTATGATATATAAAGACATAATCTTTTTTAGCGAAAAAAAATCAAGAATATCAGGACAGCAATTTCACTAAGGAATATATTTTTCAAACGAATCAAAAAACCAATTTCAAATTTTAAACTGCTTAATTTCAGTGTACAATTGCGCTTTGAAAGAAAGAAAAATAAATACAAAAAATTTGACTTACGGAAAAATGCAGGTGAAAATTTTGTTGGAAAAAGACTACATTTAAAACACATTGTTTTTTATTTTTAAAAAATGCTGAGAGATCCCCCGGTTGCTCAGCTCACGAACGGCTGCTTCGCATTTGCTTAAAAAACAATTTTAATCTTTCTTGAGTTTTATGTTTAATGTAAAATTTTAAGATTTATATCTAATTTTTTTCTTATTTTCGTTATTGTAAACTATAATTTTCAAACAAATTAGAATTTCTAAAAAAAACTTGTGCTAAAATCATAAATAAAAAAGGTCCTTTCAGAATGTCAACTCTGTAGTTGAATTATTGCAACCTACGCAGGGGCCTGCATGGTATTTTTTACTACAAATTTAGTAGATAAAAATTCTCGAACTAATTATTAAATGTAATTATTTTTTTTTAATCCATCTCAAATCTTATAGTTTTTGCACACTAATGCGAGATGTAACGTTAACTCCCAAAAATAGTCTCCGCTATATTTGGGATTTTCATACAGAGAGACACTAAATAATTAACAGCAATCATAAAGTAGTGAACCGTGATGGCTTAAGGAATAGAGCGTTCGCCTTCCAATGAGGTGAACCGAGTTCAAACCCTAGCGATGGCTGATCGATACGAATTCTGCATTCATCTTGCACCTACCACTGTGCTGAGGTAAATTATCCTCGGCAGTAGACGGATCATGGATTAGAGTTCCCTTGCCGTCAGGCTAACCGTGGGAGGTTCTCCTCCTCATGTAACTCAAACACGGGTTAGTTCCATCAAAAAGTCCTCCACGAAGGTAAATTTCTCTCAATACTTGATCCAGGAGTTCCTATGTCTTCTGGTTTGGGCTCAAAATTACAAGGCTATGGAGTTGAACATTAGTAGTCGTGAGACTGAAATTTAGTCTGCTGTTCAACGACGGCTGTAAAATTATAAAGTAGTAGTAATACTTAAAGTTTGTTTAAAATTGAAATCGTAGCTTTCGATTTGTAACAATTTTTTAAGATATCAATTACATGAAAGTATTAATTATGAAATTATTTTATTAAACTGTATGTAAACACTTTAAAAACTGTAATTTTTTTTAATTAATAAAATACTACAAAATATGCTCATCTTCTAAATGCTTTTGTTAATAAATGAAAATTATGAGGGAAGGGCTATCTATACATTAGTGATGGATTCTAATAAGTAATCCAACTGGGCGCGCAATCGCAGTACAGATATTTTTCACGTTCTAAGATTTTTTCCCAAATTTAGAGTTATGATAAGTTATTTTCTCCATTTCAGTGAAACTCAACAATTTTCCCTAAAAATAGTGGTTTAATTTTAAAGGGTCGTTAAAAGAGTTGCTAAGGAATTCTATAATTTCCAACCAGTTTCTTTCTCCAAATCTTTGGCGATGGACATGAAAAATTTCTTGATAGCAATGCACTTTCCCCGTAAATATATTGATGGACTATATAACTATATCTATTGTTATAACCCATACCCTACCTTTAGTGTGGAAGTTCCAAGTAAGGCTAGCACCGGACTCGCAGTTGGATTATGGATAAAAATTCCCTTAGGGCTAACGGAGAGAGTTTTTCGTGGTTGTGGTAATGGAATTTAGTTTCACCAATAAGTCCTCCACGCATGATAGTTAATCCAAATGCTTGATAGAGGAGTTTCCTTGTCTTCTTGGTTGGGATCAAAACTACAAGGCTATGGAATAAAGCAGTGATATCCATAAACACAATTATGAGTCGGCTGTTCAACACCGGTCATAAAATAATGTAAACTGATATTGGTGGCCAATTAGTAGCTTTTTAAATTTTGTACACAGTTTAGTGATTATTATTAAAATAAGTATCATCATCCTAACAAATTTCCGCGTTATAGAGCAAAATCATTAATTGAAAGATTAGTGCACTTGTTGTTATATTAAAGATGCTTATATAAGCATGTGTATAATATATATATATTTTTTTTTTTGCTCTACTTGTTTGGCTTAGATGTTTAAATTATTTTTTTTAAGTAAAAAGAAAAAAATGCATTGAAAAAGTTTAAATCGCTATTTCTTGCCTACCTTTTGGTTTTTACACAATTTTTGTCTCCTCTCAATTTTCGAGCCCACATTCATTGTTCAAAAATATTCTCTGAACTTTTTACTTGACTTACGACCATGCAAAAAAGTAGAAATAATCGTCTTTATATATAGGGTTATTCATAATTCCCTTCGGGGTTTCGAAGCATTATAGTAAAAAAAAGACGACGAATATGAAAAAAAAAACATGACATTATTCCGAAACTATTCAAGTTTCACTTACATACATTACAGGTGTTCTATGTGTGAACCCTTGAAATTAAGAAAAGCAATAAGTTTTATTTACTGTACATAAGCTGCAAGTAAATAGAACTCATAAAATGAATTATATATATATATATATATATTCCGAAAAAATTTAAGAGAAATATTGCTGTTTTTTTTTTTTTTTTTTTTTTNTTTTTTTTTTTTTTTTTTTTTTTTTTTTTTTTTTTTTTTTTTTGCTCGGTTAGCTTAAATGATTAAGTCATTTTTTGAAATATAAAGGAATAATTGCTTTGAAAAAAGAATAAATCATAATTTCAAGCATGCCTTTTAGTTTCAACAAAATTTTTGTCCCTCCAAAAATTTTGGGGGGACTGTTGAACCTCCAAGGGTTCAACAATCTTTTCAAATCCACATTCACTGATGAAACATTTTCATTAAGTTTTTTGTTTGAACAGATCTCCAAGGATCAAGGAAGAAAAACGAATTTTTTTCCCGTTTTAACAATAATTATAAATTATAACACTAAATCATAAGCAAAAGATAAGACTTAGTAGAGCTTTAGCTTCCATCTAAATTTTACTTAATATTTTAAAGGAATTAAGAAAATACAGTTTTTCATTCATTAAAAAAAGTGTGAATCATAGTTTCAATTATTTTTTAGGCTGAACATACTTTTTTCCTTTCCCTTTTCGATAAATTCTCATTCATTGATCTTTGTAGTCATTGATCTGAAATTTTTCAGAACTTTCTTTCTCAACACCCCTCCTTCAACCATGGGAGGAGGGAACGAAAGAAATCGTTCCAAAAATATTTCTGAGTAATAACACCAAGTCATAAAAAAATAAATAAATAATTAAATAAAAATTAATGCTCTTTTGTTTTTGTTTTGCTTAAGACGCTAAAAGAAACAAGATAAAAAATATATATTTTTTTCACTCTGCTTGATTGGTTGGACAGGGAAAAATAAATAAAATAATATAAAAATGGTGGGCGTCCGCAAAATAAAATATAACAATAACAAAGGTACGTCAAAAACAAAGGTGATGACAGTTTTCCAGGGACAAGAAAGAGGGGGGGCGATAAAGGACTGGGCATTAGCCCCTCCTCTTCTATCCGTCAGTGGTGGATGCACATATTCAAAACTTCAACGTTGCACACACTAACTATAAATCACATTTGCCACTCTACATGATTGCGCTGACGTCAGAGGTTGGGCCGGGCTAACGGAGCCAATCGGAACAGACAACAGTGGAGTGTGCGCTTAGGAATCAGCCGATACTAGTGGCAGATTATTACAGCACCCGGTCCGCTCGGGGCTTTTCTCCGCTACTTTTCCAATCTTCATTCAACTACAATTTCAAGACGATCAGCTGGAATTCTATTCTCTCTTGCTTATGTCACAGATGCTGCTGCTTTAACCTTATGACGGACATCTTACCTTTTACATGTCTCTGAAGCAGATATCAACCCCCTCAAACGGTGAGTTTAACAATTAGTAAAGTTTGTTTACCTTTCAAAACTTTGTGATTTTTCTGTGCGCGCTCTTTTGCATCCCCGCCAAATAAACATGTGCTTTCCTCCTATAGGATTTGGGGTGGTTTTTAAGTCTTGTTTTGATCTGTGCTCTCATGTGTACATTTTGATTGGTTTTATAGTTACATTTTAATACATTTCATGTTGACTATAATGCGTTTTTTTTTATACATTTTTACGTAAAATAATTCATTTGACAATAAAATTAGTTTATTTAAAAATTTATTTTTTTAATTTAAAATTGTTTCAAAAAGTGAGAAGTAAAATAATAACTTGTGTGAAAAATTATAAATTTATATTTTTTTGAAACTGAATCCGCACAAAAAGTTCCCAATTGTTTGTAAATAACAAAATATTTGCCTCTTTCTTTCAAAAAAAATAATAATAATAATTCGTTTTTAAATAAAATCATACTAATTAAAACTAACTCACTTGTCAATTTCACTAATTCTGTACCATAGTACAGACCTCCTTACTCAACGCAAATGCACACAACAACAAATACTAATGCCAAGTTAAGGATACGAACTGAAGGGTTTCTGTTTGATAAAGCTTTGAGTACTTATATTTCTTCCTTAGAGTCTTTTACAAACATTTCGAATCAAAAATATTAATTAATAAATATTGCAAATACATTAAAATCTAATCCTCACCCCCATCATCAGCTAACTAACTAAAAAAACATTTAATTATATTTTTATATATATATATTTCCACCGTCAATAAGCTAAATTATCAGGCATATTTTTTTATCAATAAGCTCTTAGAAAATTAATTAAGAAATTTGATGCATTGTGGACAGTAAATAATTCTTTAATACATTGTTGATTATTAAGCGAGAGTGTTTGAGTTCCTGAGGTTCCATTTCCTTCAAATTCATTTTAAAACTTTTTAAATGTAAACAAATACTTAAATTAAGTTCGTAAAAATTAGCACTATTATCCTAAGGTAATAGATCACTTATTTAACTAACCGTCAAAATTTAATGATGTAATTATATCTAGTACTTAACATGACTTATTTAATTTAATTATTATCGTATCTATAAATGTATCTTACGATTCACATACGTTTTGTGATAACATGAGTTTTAACTAATTTTCTCTAGATATTTAGTGCGTAGAAAACTAAAATGTCAAGTTCAGATAATTTTTTTTTCTTTTTCTGTGACAACATAGTTTTTCTTTTAAAAAAATTGTGAATATTAAATTACATAAGCATTGTTTTTTTTTTTTACCTAAATTGAAGACACATATTCAAGCAGTTAATTTGATTAAAAATGATAATAATTCAATTGTTTTCATGTGCCCCATACAATGTATTTATTTAATAAAATAACTCTGTTTAAATGTGAAAACATTTACTACAGGGACAGACTTAACATTTGCAGTATCACTTTTTCACAAGAATTTTTCAACAAATATATACCCGTAGCTAATAGCAATGTAAATATGAAGTGTGACATAAATCACGAAATTTATTAATCAATCTTTATCACGCACTTAGTGCACACAATATTATCATCGGAGTTTGATTTAAATTTAATGTCAAAAATGTGTTGAACAGTAAGGGTCTTAATTTTAAAAATAAAGAATTTAATAATCAATATTTTTGTATTTGTAAGTGTTGGAAAAAAAATTATACCCTGATTTAAAAAAATTTTCATATAAATACTTATGAGTTACTCTAAACGATTAATAAATTTTATTTCTGAACAAAGAGACTGCATAATAAATTTTGGGGTACCTTTCAAATTGTGTGAGTAAACATACAAAAAAAAAAGTTTTGATTTTTAAAAATGTTTAAATATTTTAAAGAAGTAATCTAAAGAGAAAAGTAAATTAAATAGATCTTAATATACAGAAAAAAATATAAATTTTAACATGAAAGATTTTATTTAAAATTTCCAATTTTTTGTATACATTTTTTTTCTGATTTATATATATTTAAAGATATGACGCTTTCTCACTTTATTTTAGTCTTCACAAACCAAAATTATTTTAAAGTTATTATTTTCATTTCAAATAAATTGAATTCCAATTACATTTTTTAGTATTCGAGAAGTGACTTTAAAAAAAAAAATTGAAATAAAATTTTTATTTTTATAAAACTAAGAGTGTGTAAGTGGTTGCTACAGTAACTACTGAAATTACAGTAACTGCAGAGTTTGGGAGTTCCAGGTAGACCATTCCCCCTACAGACTGTTATTGCACCCCAAATGTTTTTAGTTTTCCCTTTCTCATGTATAGATTTATTTAATTTTACTTATGTATTAATTTTTTTTTTCATTTAAGCGAATTTTTTTCTTCTTTTTATTATTATTAATGGCACAAAAGCTAAAACAAACTCTTATGTTTACATTAAATTCGGACATTAATATTATCATAAATAAGATAACTCAGTGACCACCGCTTAATAGGATTGAATCAGTACCTGAATGTTTGATTATTCCAATAAGCGGCTGATGGTACTGATCAAATATATACTTCGCAATATAGATGAGATAATATTTTCCCGACATTTCACAGCATTATGAATATACTTGTACAATAGTATTCATTTAGGCACACTGAAAAAAAGGGTATTTTATTTTATATTTCATAGCCGTCGTTGAACAGCCGACTACTACAAATGTTCACTACTACAAATGTTCAACTCCGTAGCCTTGTAATTTTGAACCCAATCCAGAAGACAAGGGAACTCTTAGATAAAGTGTTTGAGAAATTTTGTCTTCGTGGCGTACTTTTTTAAAGGAACTAAATCGCATATGCGTTACATGGAGAAGAAAAATCACAAGGACCTCCCACGGTTAGCCTGACGGCAAGGGGACTCTAACTCATGATCCTTCTACCACTGAGGATATTCTACGTCAGCACTGTGGTCGGTGCGAGCCGGGTACGTTATTCGGATCGATCATTCATCGCTGGGATTCGAGCCCGATTCACCTAAATGGAAGGAGAATGCTCTATATCCTAAGTTATCACTGCTCTAGAAAAAAGGTATTGTCACAATTACCGGAATACGGTAAATTTTACCGTATTTCTGACTCCATGGGAACAACAAAAAGCTCCGTAACTTTTAGTGCTCTGGTTAATGATTTTGGTAAAATGGACAATAAAATATGGTTCTATAAAAAGCTATAAAATTTGGTAATTGTATCACGATGGCGTAGAACATGGCATAAAAATCATTTATTCTGTTAAATTTACTTTTCAGTTTTGTATTTTCCACGAAATGTGTGGTAATAAGAATTACAATTTTGAAAACCAAAATTTCCGGAAAACCGTTACCATATGAGGGGAAAAATTATCAAATGAATGATTTAAATACCATATAGATTTATTTTGTTTTTTAAACCAAAATTGCGTGTCTTTTTTTTTTTTACCACTTCTCCGCATTCTTAAAAATCCGAAACTTCAACTTCCTAAACAATTGATTAAAAATAATTATTAATTTAAGTGAACATGTAAAAGAAGCTGGTATTGTTAAACAAAACCTGAGAATGAACGCTTTTTTACAAAATCGAAGCAAAGCATTACAGCTGGACATTTCTGACCCTTTGATTTAAAAGCTCTATCTCCCTTATTTGATGAGTTTTGATTTCGATATCTAATGGTCTGATAGCAAAACAAATTTCAATGTTGTCACATATATTTTTTTCTTGTTATTAAACTCTGCTGAAACTTTGAAATCTTAAAAAAAGCAAACACACACGGAGGAAAAACTCTAGTTAAATTTCCATACTGTATTTTTGGTAGAAAAAAAAATAATTTTGGCTGATAAAACCAAAGCATACGGTATTTACAAAATTCATTTGGTAATTTTTCCGTTCATATGGTAGCGGTTTACCGGAAATCACACCTTATTGCCTCTCATTAAATGAAATATACAGAACTAAAAATTAATTTAACCGAATAAATGATTTTTATTTCAAGCTCCATTTGTCATAAAACCTCGATTGACGAAATTTTTTCAGACATTATAAAACCATTTTTAATTGTTACTTTTACCAAATTCATTACCAAAGATCTTCGGTAAAAATCACCGAGCTTTTTAAGATTCTCATAGAGCCAGAAACACGATAAATTTTACCATATTCTGGTAGTTTTAGCCATACATTTTTTGTCAGTGCATTGTAAGAAAGGGGAAGACATTTCTTTGTGAAAAACAGTTGTATCTGGGTTCGTTGAAATAAGCTATGTTTATAATATTTTTTTTTCTTTCCTTATTCTTCTTCCAAAACTCTTCCCCGGTTTTTCCTTCGTTTCTATAAATAAGTCTCGTCACTATGTCAAAATAGCATTGTTCTAAAAGTAATTCAGTTTCTCGACCTCGTGTCATCAGTAGATGTATAATTACAAAAAATGTTGAAAATAAAATTAACCCTTCGAGGTTTTCAAAAAGCAATTTTAACACTACATTACAGCTATTCTGTCCTCGGGTTGATAAATTTGATTTCTTCAGATATGTGAATCTCATTTATCATTTAGTGTTTATTTCTAGCACTCCTCTTTTATGCTTTGTATTAAGCAGCAATATACTTTGTAGTCCTAAATTTTTTTTACATTTAAATGTTTTTTGAAATTTGCTTTTTGATAAATATTAATATTTTTAATATTTACCAAAAAGCACTTCAAATATTTTTTGGAAACTTTTTGGTTTTTCCATTAAACAATGGTATGAAATTGTTTCATATCCATGTCTGTATTAACTTATAATAGTTTAAAAACGAAAAAGTTAGGCCTAGTTACAATTAATTATAATAGTAAATACTTTCTCGTTTTAGCTATCACCCGATGAGTATCATACTAAAAAAAAAGAAAGAAAAACGAGCAAACGTGGAAGCACAAAAATGTGATGCTCCTTTTTGCGATAAACCAAACAAGTAAAAAAAATATATGATAGAAATCAATTAGCAGCAAAAAATAAAATTAAGAGCATATAAT